TTTTTTTCTTTCAAAGCAAGGGGTGTATTCTCGCCCCACACTTCGCGAAGCGCAGTGGTCGGCTCCTCGTAAGCATCAGTAGATGGCAGGAGATACCGCGAAATGCCGTCGGGGATGGGAGGACAACCGGCGGCTGGTGGAGAAGGGGTTGGGAAAAGGAGGGAGCAAGACGGGGGTGGTGGTGATGGTCCGAGAGAGTTTGTGGGTGTGGACGATTCGATCTGAGGGAGTTAAACTAATAATAAGAGATTTCAAAGGAATTATTACTACGGTCAGCGTGACAATTATTATATCGTGTATTCATATGTTATAATAATACATAATATCACGATAGTTATTCTTCTATAATACGAATGTAATGATAATTATGCGTAATTGTCATATTAATTAACATAATCACACGTCGTGAATCAAATCTCAAACCAGACTGGGTTTTTCTTTTAATAACAATTTAAATCCTTCTCCTCCTTATTACAGTTTAAATAATAATTTAAAAGACGAATATTCCATTCCATTCTTCTTCTTTTAATTATTTAAAAAAAAAAAACCCCAACCAGTCTGGTGTTGCGTGTCTGGTGGAAGGAGTGCCAGGAGATTTGATGCGCCGCCCATGATGTGGAAGCTAGCTGGGTACTCTGGTTGCCCTGGCTGGATTCTCCAGCGTTTCTTTGATTAAAAAAATTGTGGGGTTAGAACAGCTGTTTTGGAGAGGATAGCGATGAAGTGGGTGTGGTGGCAGAGGGACAGTGTTTTCAAGCTTTTGCAAAGCACCAAAAGGAGCTACTTGGCACGAAGAAATACCAAGCTGTTTATTTAGAATAATACATAACTGTTCCCAGGTCTGATCCAAAGCTGTTATCGTCAGGGAAAATATTACAAAGTTTCACGGACTTGGGTTGCTCATCCGTATACTGACGTTCCCAAGCACAGTCAATTTCTTTTTATCTTCTGTTCTTGACATTTGCCTGGCAACAGGACTTCTTGCTGCAACGCAGATGTTTCTAATGCTTGGGCATATAGAATTCTAATACCTGGGTAGGTGAAATATTATATTTTCTAATACTTGGGTATACATAATTCCACCACGATTTTCCCACATCCTGTAGATTAAAAACATCTATTTGGAGTCCTAGTGGCTGTGATCCTCACCTTTTTTATCATACACGGAAAACCTTTTAATCATCTTACCATGAAAAGGAATAAAAATTAATGACTTAAGGGTAATGTAAATGAGTTAGCCATTTCAGTCACTGAATGTTCAAGCCCCTGAATGTTCTGCAATGTTACTGTTCGTATCTGGTTTTTTGGTCCTTGCTTTTTACAGGCTACAACTTCTATTCTTCAAGTTGTGGGAGCTTAAAGAATGCATTCGGTGAGTGAGTTCACTTAGGAAAAAGAATCACTGAGTCTGCTAGAGTTGTCAACAAGGCAAGTATGCTGAGACTGTAAAATATGCAGGCTCAGAGGGGCGTGGACATATTTTAAAGGAGCAACCTAAACAAAACCCTTCTGTTGCCGCTGGCTCGCCCCGGCAGCACTACCTGCTACGCCCTTCCTAAGACATCTGTGTTTCCAAAGGGCGGCTGGTGTCTGCCCCTCTCAGTACAGGATCCTGCCCAGACTGCTTCCTTGCTCTCCCCCTTCTTTTTGGCTGGGACCTTGGAGCCCGGGCAAGGAGGAGGCATTTTTGCAGAGACCAGCAGCACACCTTGATCTGCCGGGTCCAACACACTGTCGGTGGGTGGGTGGGAGAAGGGCAGGAGTTCAAACCGGCCGCAGTTCATAGCAGAGGCAGCACAGGCTGCTGCCGGCTCTGCCTGCAGCAGAGGCGTGAGATGCTGGCCGCGGCTGTGGCGGCAGAGAGGAGGGAGCCTGCTGCCTCCAGCAGTACCACTCGTGGTTTTGCTCTCCCAGCAGCCTGCTCCCTTGCAAAGTTAGAGGAGCAGGAAGCCCAGATCTCCTCCCTGCCTCTGTTTCACCTCCAGTTCTTCCTCTCCCTCCTTCCGCATGGAAGGAACAACCCAACTCTGTCCCTGCCTAGCTACATATCTTTCCTGTGGCTAAATAACATGTTGGTGTTTTGTGTTTTTTTTTTTTTTTCCTCAAAATTATTTTTTCCTTTGGTTTTGATGAGCTGTGGCGAAGCCCTGGCCTGGCTGGCCTTTCCAACCCGTCTCTGGTTTGCACTTCGGAGCCTGTCTCCCCAAGTCTTTCTGCGTCAATCTTCTACTGTACGTGGCACATATGCATGATGGAGAGGATAGTCACCTTGTCTTTGTGATCTAAATAAACACTCTTCTGATTCCTGTTACGAGCCTTCTGCAAAGGTTCTGCAAGTTTTTGGGTGTCTAGAACTCCCAGCCCTGTGTACATTGTAGGGAAAAGCTGCAACGCCCCATGGTAGCCAGCACAAAACCAGAAGTATGGATTTCTGGTTAGCCCTCTGACCCTGCAAAGCCAGGGATAGCCGCATTGATGTAGCTGCAAGGCCCGTCAGCACCCACTGCCGGGGAGTCCTCGGGGTCTCTGGGAGGTGCCACATTGCCTGGGTGCTCCCTGTGCTCCCCCCCCCAGCCTTGCTGCTCAGGTCACCAGCCCTTGAGGCCATGCCATGGGGAAAGGAGGGGTGATGAGACCAGAAATAAGATGGCACCAAACTGGTACCTCTCCCAGCCTACCTTTAAATTCCCGCTGCGGGTTTTGACACCAGCTGTCAGCTCTGATTACCTGTCACGTTTGTAACAATGCTGTCAGGCTGGCTGAGCTGCCAGCGCTTGGAGGAATTGGAGACTTCTTATGCAGGTTAGGGTTTTTTTTTTTTTAGTTTTATTGATTAATCCGGCAGGGTAGTGGAGGAGTTTTTTTGCCAAGTTGCAGTACAGGTTTTAATGGTGAGAAACTTTCTAGAGGAAAACATTTTACGTTTATTTAGAAAGAGGAAGCATTAAAGAGATTAAATTTATCAGGGTCATCTGATGTAAGTCAAGAGTTCTTTTCATGTAAAATCAATGTGCGTGAATTATACAGACAGAAATTGGAGGTTAACTTGCTCATTAGTCACGTGGTGCTGAGGATAATAAATGTTTGATGCTGGAGCATTACTGATAATTTATTAGTCATGGAGTAATAGGTAAAACAATACGACAGGAAAGGAAGGAGAGGGGAATTAATAGGGGAAGGAAGAACGGCAGGGACCGCACAGGTCATCCTCAGCTTATTGAATTTCATGTCCAAGCTCCCACTGACTTTAAAGGTATGGCGTGAGGCCATCTGACTGTGTTTAAAGGTATGGCGTGAGGCCATCTGACTGTGCGAACATGGGTAGGCGAAGAGCTGGTTAATGAGAGGAGCTGTGGGAGGCGTGGGGAGAGAGCCCAGCAAGGGAGGGAGGCTGCCTTGAGGGGGCTGATGTCTGCTCCAGGGGCGAAAGGGAGAAAAGAGAATATGCATGGCATGGAAAGAAGCGATGCTGTGTCTACTGGCACTGGGACCAGTGGTGTCTGCACCTAGCAAGTGGCTGAAGACAAGAAACTTGGTTGCCTCTTGCTGGAGGGTTTCTCTGAGGGCTGGTCCTGGGTCACATTTCCCTCCTGTTGGTCTGCTCCTTCTGTTGCAGTGACATTTGTCATACCATTAGAGCCTCTGCCTTTCAGCCAGGGTTGTTTGAAAACGGCCAAGACCTTCTGGGGAAATGGAGGCCAGACTCCTGGTTCGTTAAATGTGCATAGTGATTGAATGAGTTTTGTGTTATTAGGCTAAAAATGCTGACGAGATTTGTCCCAGCAGAAGGCATTTTCCCCCCTTTGACCACAGGCTGTTCCTTCCAGTGGCACATCACAGAGAAATTAGTCCATCAACCCTTAACATTATCTTTTGATGTTTTTTTAAAATAAAATTGTACATCTGTTATGAACCAGTCTCACCGACAGCTCCCAGTTTGTGTTGTGTTGTAAAAGCATTGGAGAAGAAACTCCAATGGGTTAGAGAAAGAGTGGCTGATTTTACTGCATTGTCTTTGACACTGAGCAACCAGTTTGGACCAGTACAACTAACCCAACCCTGCTGATAGATGCCAGTAAATACAAGTGGATTATGGACAGCCTCTCCTTTAGCAATAGTTATTAGTATTAACATTTTGAGAACGTATCATTATCTCAGATGCCATGCAGTGTTTTGCATATAGGAGCAAGCACTGGGCTGGGGAGGAGAAATCCCTCACTGCTTCACAGCTCCCCAGGCGAGGGAGACAACCCTGGAAGCTGGAAACGCAGCGTGGCGGCTATGCAGCATATTTAGCATGAGGTGAGCAAGCAGAAATGCAGCACCTGTGTACAAGGTGCATTGGGATCTGGGCAGCACGGGGGGCCCTGGGCCTTCTGCTGGGAGAGGAGGGGGCTGGTGGAAAGGGAGCCGTAGAAGGAGGGTGCAGCAGCAGCAGCAGCAGCATCCTCGGTGCACTGACTGCGCGAGCCTTTGAGAAGCGGTGAGAGGCTGTGGGTGAGGCACTGGCTGGGAGAAGCTCCAGGCAGAGCCCACCCCCTCCTGCTGCACTGTCCCTGGGGTGCGCGGGGGGAGCCGGGCACTGCACCCTCCCCGCAAGGGCTCCGCTTGTCCCGACAGCCATCCGCTCTGCTCACCGAAGGAGGGAACCCCCCAGGATCTGGCTCCCAGCTGGCAATTCCGGGCAAACAAGAGTAACTGTCCTCGGAGAGCCAATATGTGAGGGGGAAATTTGGAGAGTCACTGTTGAGAGGGATTTTAATATTTGGGGAAAGAAAGAGATGAGGCTGGCTGATGGGAAATGTATCATCACAGAACATGAAACTGCAATTTTGCTCTCTTGTGCAAATGGTATCCAGCAGAACTTAATATGCAACGAAGAAATCCACTTCCAC